TTCATATTAAATTTTTATACATAACATGACATAATGACCATTTAATATTCTCAAAACACTCTGGAAATTTATCTAATGTACAAATATAGTCTAATTTATATAGACATTTAAATTCACAATTTCAGACTTGTTAAAAATTGTTGCTATTACAGATAAAACGTTGGTGAGCATCCCAACAAATAAACATTCACAAACATGTCTATAGGCTGGATTCTTAGAAACCCCATAAGGATTTTAAAACATACTAAAATATTACCTACAAAAAAATCTTTAACAAAGTACACTCACTCAAGTAGTATTTGAGGACACGTGTTTTCACAGCTCCCTCACCAAACGGGGTACAGTATTCACTTTTAAAAATCTTTAAATGAAGGATGGGATAAAAAAATACCTAATTTGCATTTATTTGTGAGGCTAATATTTGTTTATTGGTTATCTGTATTTCTTTTTAGGAAGATTATGTTACACCCCTTTGTCCATTTCCCTATTGAGATTTTATTTTAATGTTACCCTTTGATCTAAAGACTTCCTCAGGATTTTAATTCTTTTCCGTATTTGTTATTCAGTTTCCTCATAGTTTGTCTTTTAATTTTGTTTCTGATTTATGATATTCAGATAAAAAGTAATGCAGTGTCAAAGTTGTTAATTTTTGCCTTCCATTGCTTTTATTTGCTCACAAGGTCCTTACAACTGCTGACATAAATAAATATGTAATTTTATCGATTATTTTCCTTAGGCTTTATTTGTTTATTACATTAACTTTTGAAATCATTAGTACATTTTTGGTGTAGAAAGAGGGGTCAACATACACTTCTGATTCTATTTACCTGATAGTCAATCATTGATTGAACAATCAGTCCCTCATTTTCCTATGGTTTATGAATCAATCCTTATCCTATACTAAGTCCCACAATATATCAGACTCTGTTTTCACTAATTAGCCTGGGGATGGTCTGTGGCTTTATATTTTGAGGCTGGGCATGATAAGCCCAACATTTTAGGAAGCCGAGGCAGGAGGATTGCTTGAGGCCAGGAGTTGGAGACCAACCTGGGCAACCTAGTGAGACCCATCTCTACACAGAAAAATACAGAAATTATCTGGACACGGTGGTGAGCGTCTGTAGTCTCAACTACTCAGGAGGCTGGGTAGAGAGGATGGCCTGAGCCCAGGAGATTGAGGCCACAGTGAGCCAAGATCACACCACTGTACTCCAACCTGAGTGACAGAGCAAGACTCCCACTCAGAAAAGTTTTTATAAAAATACACACATGCGCGCGCGCACACACACACACACACACACACACACACACATAAATAAATAATATTTTGAATTTAGGAAAATCAAATTTCTCTATTTATTTCTTGTTCTTTAAAAATCCTTCTGTCAATTATTTTTAGGACTTTGGTATTCCTGCAATATTTTTTATTAAATTGTTTTAAAATTTCTAAGTATTGATACCACAAATGTTTCTTGAAGAACTGGAATAAGAAAATTACAAACAAATGAGTCTCCCCACTTTCAACTCCTCCCTTTTCTTAGATTACTATTGTCTTTTTTTTTGAGCATGTACTTTCAGGATTTCTATCACAAATAGTTTGGTAGTTTTGTTCCTATTCTTCCTTGTGAAGAAAAAAGAAATGTGTCAGAGCATGGTCTATTTTCGCAACATAGAAAAAATATTTGATGTAGTCTATTATAGGATTGCAATGTTTTTTTAAAAAAAATCTAGGAAATATAATTTTAATTTCTTTCAGCTTTAGATGTCTAATCTTTTGAGACATATAAAAATAAACTATTGAATAAGCTAGGGTCATGCACAAGCCTTTATACTGCTGCTCAGATCTATTAAATGGCATCTTATTTAACTTGAAACAGACTCCAGTAACTACAGTGTCATAAAGATACCCCTGGTAGCATGTCAGTCACTCTGAAGTATTTTGCTTTTCTAAGTTTCCAAATGATTAATTATTTTACTTACTCCACACACATTACAAAGCACTGTACCATTTAATTTTTAAATTCATTTCTGTATGTATTTAATCAACAGTATCTTAGTGATAGGAGGTGCTCAGTAAACATCTGTTGAATAGGAGAAGAATGGCTGAAACATACTATTTAAATAGAGTGCTGTACAAAATGGCACATTATTAATAACTACATTGGAATTTTTAGAAGTGGCTGATGCAGGAACATAAGCCTTTTTATTCACAGCAAAGCTTGAGAGATGAATAGCAGGCACATGTGATGTGTGATTTATTCATACACACTAGTAGGAGATTTATAGGCTTCTATTAACCTACTTGAGTTCCAATTTTGTCTTAGGCTAGTCTTTTGTCATTATTAGCTATGTTGTACATCTGTGTTAAATAACTGGTTGTCTGTACTGAAATATGCAAGAAATATGAAGACAGAAGGCCAAAATTATATATAAGCACATCATTTCAGTTGAACTGTAGAAAAATATCTGTTTATGTGTGTTACAAAAATTAGACATGTACATGCTTATGCACAAAAGCAGATCATTTTTCTTTTATGGACATGAGACTCATTGTTATAGACTGAATTTATCTACAAAATTTAAAATCCCTACATGAAGTAGTTCCTCAGAATGTGACCATATTAGGAGAAAGGTCTTTACAGAATTAATGAAGTTAAAATAAGGTCATTAGGCTATGCTCTAATCTAATATGGCTGATGTCCTAAAAGAAAATTTAAGATACATACACTTACAGAGGAAACATGATGAGAACACACATTTCCTTGACCATCTACAAGCCAAGGAGATAGGCCTCAAAAGGAATAAACTCTGCTGACACCTTGATCTTGAACTTCTGACCTTCAGGACTGTGAGAAAATAAATTTCCATAGTGAAGCCACCCAGTCTGTAGCACAGCAGTCCTAGCAAATTAATACACTCATGAAGTAATGAAGAATACAGCATGACCATATGCTGAAAAAGAACAATTACTTTGTTCTCTTGATAGTCACGGTTTTGGAAAAGATGAATCATCTCAGCCTGCATACTGTGGTGAGACCTGATCCGATCCCACCTCCAGGTAAAACACCATCAAAGAAAGCCACTGCTTTAGCTAATGCTGCTGATAACACCCCTTCTTCAATTGATTAGGAATTCAAACATAATTGATTGCATTGCTCACTTCCACATGATAATCCCATTAGATTAGCCAAGGTAACTGCAACATGGTTGAGGATCTAAAACAGCTTGCATACACATCATGCTTTGAAGGTATGGTAGCTCATTCCTGGATTTCCCCTTGACATCTTAATGTCACTTGTGTGCTTCCTATCCATGCATGCCCAGTCACAATAAATATGAGAGAGGAGGAGTGTGGAGAGAAATAATCCCCACTCCCCTTCTTTCCCAACCTAGGTTTGCAGAGCATAGGAACACGTTGTACATTTTGCAACATTTGGCAAATGAAATGGCACTGCCAAAATCCTATGAACACCACATGTTGGGGTGAGGAAAGGTCACAGTTCTATTTGTCCTGGCACAGGACATACGGTAACTTTTACAGAGCCCTCCTACTATACCATGTATCTGTTCTTCCAAACCTGTGCCATTGCCCAGTGTGGCAATACATCTTCCCTGTGGACTAAAGCTGGCTCTTGGAATCAGGCAGCTGCTACTGCCATGGCATGTTCTAAGTTCGTAACTATACGATATCCTTCTCTACATTATCTTAGTGAAACAACATGAGAATAGAGTTTTAGAATAGTAATAAGAAAAAGTCATAATTTTCCATGCTTCACGATTCCGAATAATTAATTTAATAACTGTGTCATATGAGAAGAGTAAATAAAGAGAAGGAAAGGGGTGTGGATATATGATCACTGATGCATATACAGTGGCGAAAACAAATTACCAGAGTACTTCTGGAAATGAAAGCATGGTAAGAAATATTTTTCAGATGTTAATTTGAATCTTCTACTGAGCCTTAAAGCTACAGTGTCTACAAGTGCACTCTTTATCCCCTCTTGTTTTTATTTGTAGCTGTTATATAACCTTATGTCTCTAAAAACCAATTAAACACCTTCCCGATCTCTACTGGGAGTTTTCCCCAAGTAGTTCTCTACCTAGGCTATAACAGGACTACAATTTCATTTACAACATCTTGCTGGAGAGTGTTTCATCAGAGGTGTTAAGAAAAAGTACCAAAATTAATAAAGAAGGGTAGAAACAAAATAAAATGCAGTTTTCTCTGGACACAAAGTCTCTGGGGTTAGTTCACAATAAATGCTGAGATTCCAGATCTTAGATGAGCAGTTTGCTTCTCCTGCTATAGTCTGTAGGTTATCAAGAACAGATTATTTCTGAGTACTAGGATATATGCCTATGTTCCACATCATAAATATATGCTTCTAAAGTGTGTAAATAATTATTTCCATTAATTTGGCAGATCTAAAAGTAAATCTTTCTTTGTTTGGTCAGGTAAAACTTAAACCATAACTACTTTGCTTCCGTTTTGTCTTCTTCAAATGCTGAAGACAGGAGCCTTGCCCTTCCCATATTAAGACTCCCAATTCCGATGGCCGGGCGCGGTGGCTCACGCCTGTAATCCCAGCACTTTGGGAGGCCGAGGCGGGTGGATCACGAGGTCAAGAGATGGAGACCATCCTGGTCAACATGGTGAAACCCCGTCTC